AAGTCTGCACCAACGAGCAACTCCATCCAGATCGCGCTGCAGCAGGATACTGTCGCCTAAGGTTTTGACAGCCCGGAAAATTTTCAAATCATCAGCAAAGAGCAGATACTCAGAGTTTTGGTTTATGCTGGGACATATGTCATTGATAAATATTAAGAACAGCAGAGGACCAAGTGCACTTCCCTGTGGAAGGCCGGAAGGAGCCACATATGGGTCCGAATGCTTTCCATTTATCAACACCACATACTCCCGTCTCTCAATATATGAACTGAACCAACCGAGCAGGCGGGAATGAATCCCTAGTTGATATTACGTGGCTATAAGGGCACTGTGAGAAACTTTGTCAAAGGCCTTGGCAAAGTCAGTATGCACAGCGTCAACTTGAGTGTGCAACTCAAAGGCACGATTGTAAAAATTACTGAAAGCGACAAGATTAGTGGTCGTGGATCTACCCGCCATAAACCCGTGTTGATTTGAGGAGGAAAGTTATTTTTTGGCTAGGATTCGCTCAAAAAGCTTCGACACATTACTAAGTTTGGCAATTGGTCTATAATTGGAGATCAAATTCTTAGCACCTTTTTTAAAAATGGCAGCCGTCAACATATCACAGAAACGACCCGTGGCAAGAGACATTGTGAAGAGTATTTTGAGAGGATCACAAAAAGCAATATCACAATTGCGAAGAACGAAGGGAGAAATGCCATCACTGTCGGGCTTATTAGAATTGTCGAAATCGGCAACAGCCTCCAAGATGTCAACGTCAGATATAGCTACTGCACCAATATTGACGACCGAAGGAATAGAAATTAGAGTACCTAAGTCATTCCAAACTGCATAAGGTTCAAAATTTGATCTGAAAAAGAAGCAAACAAGTTAGCTATGCCACAATCAGTATTTGCAGTCAAATCACCTAAGCTCATAGCAGAAGGAAGCGAGCTCGTCGATCTTTTGGAACTTACGAAGCGCCAGAACGACCTGGGATTGGTTTTAAGTCCCCTCTCAACGTCAGAAATGTACTGGTTATATAAAAATTTACTCAGAAAGGTGAATTCGCGCTTATGCTGCACATACCTCGCCCAATCAACAGGCGTCCTACCAAAACGTTTATAGAACTTGTTACGTAGATTTTTATATCTCCCTAGACCCTTAGTATACCACGGTAGCCTATAAGAGCCATGCACTCTTTTAGAAGCCCTACTTTCAATAATTTGTCGAACTGTATTTACGAAACTGCAATAAGAAGCGTCAGCCACAGGATGCGAGAGAACAGAAGCCCAGTTTATGTTCGACAAATCATCCCGATTAACATCAACTTTTATCAGTAAAGAAATAATCAGAAAATCGTTCCGCCCAGGGCGAATACCGATGGAATTTAGACGAAACTACCAAGGGCATATGATGCATGTCGCATTCTGCAATAGGCAATTCGCAACATGTAACACAGCAATCGATATCAGAACTAACAAAAACTAAGTCTAGAATCTTTTTTAACCTATTGAATACATTATTTGCTTGGGGTAAGCCCATACTAAAGCAGTAATCTATAAAAAGAATTTATTGCGGCAAGTGAACATTGCTGGGCATCATAGCCGACGATTGAGGATCGGCGGTCCATACTAGCGAACCCAGATTAAATTCGCCAACAACGCAGAGCTGCTGACGGTCTCGAAGATTGTCATAAACGTTAATAATATAAGGTGGGATGTACGACGCGCAGACGTATAGTGTCTCCGACTGACCGGCCACCGACACCCCAATCTGATCCAAGAGAGAGTCGTCTTCCAGCAGACGAACCGGATCACAGCGCAGGGTGCGTCTAACAGCCACAACGACCCCACCTCTTCTGCAGCGCTTCGTTTTGGACCAGTCTCTGTCCTTACGAAACACTTGGAAAAGGTTCGGATCGAAATACTCGTTGTCGAAGAAATTCGAGTTGAGCCAAGTTTCAACCAAAATGATGATATCGAAATCGCACGTAGAGGTTGCCAGATAGACAGCCAGGGCCTTGGTGCGCATACCAGCTATATTTTGGAAATTTATGCGTATTTAGCTCCGTCCATCGGCAGGTTCACAGAAAGTGGCAATCCCGTCCGGCCAGCGGCCACGGAAGGAGGCTCCAGAGCATTCCCGGGCAGTTCACAATGGGCAATAGGGGCCTGACCCACATGTGAATCCTGCCGAATCGTCGCCGTGCGGAACAGCGGACTATTACCCTCATCCAGAAGATTATGCGGGAACGCTGCAGGGAGATCCAATCTTGTCAATAGTGCTGACAATGTCACCGAAGAGAGTGCACCACTAAAGAGCGAGCGCCGGGCTGCCGACTCTCCCCAAGCGTCGAGGGAAGCGCCGACGCAAGCATAGCACACGAAGCAGTGTAATAGCGTTTGTTGTTGTGATGGTGACGCTAAACACTCACGCAGTCGAAAGAGAGCGCCAGCAAGAGCATCGCCATTAGATCCAGCAGCAGCCGACCGAATGTCGCACAAAGCGCAGCGCGCTAAAACCATATGTTGTTGTTGCATCGAAGAGGAATTCCATAAATTCTCCAACGGGCGGTTGTTCATAGCAAAGAGGCGAATAAGTGCAGGTAGAATAATGTGTGGAGAAGCGGCGATCATGAACCCAGAGGCGCCGCTCACTAGGGGTTTTTTGAAGTGGACGGAACTGGACCTTCCTGAGTGGGCGTGGACGTCCGCAACGGTAACATTCCTCGAAGATCAACTCCAGTCAGCTTCCGGCCTGTGCCGATGTACAAAGCGGGAAACCCTTACCGATGCAGGCCAGAACTTGTCATTAAAGACAGCAGAGAATAGGGCTTCAGGGACTCCAAGTTTGAAGTTAACAAACTTCAACGCAGATAGATCGGCATCTCGATTGACCAGCTTCGTACAAGAAATTTTCGATTCCGGCACCTCAAGTTTTTCGGCAACAAATTTTGCCACCGCCTCTGGTTCCGTCGCGGTTGAAAATTTACCGATATGCATGTATGTATTTGCTACTCTGCATGACGTTTAACTGCTCACAGCTCGGAGCAACACCAACAAAACGCTTAGTGTTTTTGTTTATATTTTTCCTCTCCTTCTTCCTGACTGTGACAAAGCCATCCAACTCAGAAGGGAGAGCAGCAGCTGATTCTGGTTCAATGCCCGCAGTGGCGGCCACTAATCGCGGAGATATCAAATCAGTCACCGGCAAGGGCTTATTGGCCTCCTTCCTAGAAGGCTTCACCCGCTTAGGATTGACGGAAAGTGATTGAAAGTCCGACTTGAGATCTCGATAAAGGTTTTCAAGCTTCTGAACCTTATCACTAATCTCGTCAATTTTGAAATGCGAGTCATTTGCAACCACACAGTAATCACACTGCCATAACAAGTTAGGCAGATTTATTAAAAGTTTAACAACATCTGAATGCAGATCAATGCACGTCAAATGAAACGCACGGCGGCATATAGAGGAACACCGAACAGCATCAAAGCAACGAAGCTGAGCGGCAGTGACGTCCGAATTACATTCCGAGCAATGATGAAGCGACATAGCGAAAACACGTCCGAACGTAGTGAGAGCTGAATGATCAATGGGAATCTAATTGCTTTGTAGCTTTAGCTTACGGTCTGGGAAATATTAAGCTTTCAAATGAAAAAATTATGATTTTTGTGGTAACGTGTGGCCCAATGTTCTGGGCCGTTTCATAACATTTACTCAAAATTGGTACATATATCATATATCAACCAAGAACATAACGTTGATAAGAAAATTTTACCACTTTTTACAAGTTTTTTTATCGTGCTGATAGAATGGATATATCTGGAGATATAGCGAATCAAAATTAAATTTGTTTTAACATTTCTAAAGTTTCTGCAAAAATTTTCGTAGGGTAAGTTCTTATTTTCAAACATAAACTTTTTGGCGGCATCTTTTCTTAACAAAATAAGCTAATATTGATAAAATTGTTCAAAGAATGACAACAGTACGATTTTTTTTAGTAAATGTACCCCATTTTATATATCACAATTTTAAAGTCAAAATTTTGAATTTTGAAAAAATTCCTCACAAAAATTATAATTTTTGCATTTGAAAGCATAATATTTCCCACACCGTAAGCTGAAGCTACAAAGTGTTGAGGTCCACAACCAGATGTAAGATACCTAAGTTGTGTGCAAAAAAGAGCTACTCTGAAAGAAGCATATACAAAAAATACCATTCTTTTTAAATTATTTAATTGTGTCGGATAGTGTTATTGGTGAATTACATTTAAATAATTCATCAATACACTTTAACGCCAAAATCACCAAGAAAATAAGAAGGTTTCGCCTTAATAATATACAAAATCTACTTAAATGTAATCGTACAATTGCGAAGTTTAAGATTTGGATTTGGAAGTAAAAAAATACGATTTATGCAATAGTATTAATTTAATACCTATAAAATGCAGTATTCAAGTTCGTTTATATTAAAATATCAAATAATAATAAAAAATCTACTCCTCAATAATGTTTCCTTATATGGGCGTTATAGGTGGGCGTGGTCGATTGACTTGATCAATTCCACCAAATTTCAGCTCTCTAGCTATAATATTAGACTTTTATGCCAAAAAAAAAGGGAATCTTGCCCATTGTGCAGTGTAACTATCAGATTGTGACCATTTAAAACGCATATTAAATGTAAAACAGTTATTTTTTTAAACACAAAATTATACATATGTTGGTACACTACGGCAGGGGTCGGCACACAGACTCACACATTTTTTTGGTGCGTTTGTGTGCGAAGACAACAGACACGAAGTCAAATACGTTACTTATTTCTCTGCCGTTGCGAAAGCCGAGGAATTGTGCATAGATCACACGAATGCTTCTCTGTCGCTGAGGCAAGAGAGCAGAATACGAAGCCGTTTGTGCATAGCCCGCTCTGCCGCTACGTCAGTGGGGCAGAATTTTCTCTGCCGCTACGTGAGCAGCGCAGAATAACGAAACCACACGAAGTCTTTACGCTGTACGTGTGCCGACTGCGCTGCCCAAATTTTTTTCCTATGCACAGTGCATACGACGCTGCCGGCCTCTGCACTACGGAAGCGGGAACCCATTCTTCTCTTTTATCATCCTATTGGCGTTTCAAGTACACAAATAATACACAAGTAGGTTTTACCCACAACCATGAATAGCAGATGCAAGGTATCAAAAGTAAAAAAAAAAAATGTATAAATTGTTCAACATTCAGGAAATGCTATCAACTTAGACTGTCCATCTATTTTCTCATAATTAAAATTGGAAACAAATGTATTAAATTGGAATTAAAGTTAATATATTGATTCGTTTTGCTTAAATTAGATGTATGAGTATTCTTATATGAGTATCCTTATATGAGTATCCTTATTGGTAATTTCAACAGGTTCTCAAAGAACCTGGCAGCCGTCTCTACGTAACGTTCTTATATGAGTTATTAACAATCATGAATATCCTCGTATGCATGAAATTTTTTTTAACACTCTTAATTTAATTTGTTTAATAACTATGAATTTTAATAGCTTATAGATAATGATCCCATTTGTCCAATACAACGACCCCCCTCTTCATCAAAAGTGGCCAAAGTCAATCGAGAAAGCTTATTGCATAACACCCCATTTCCATTATTTTGAATAGGATTTGGCTCTGAAATAAAAAATGTTATTAATATATTTATTTACGTATTATGCATAATTTAATTAGAATAAACTTAGAATACCAAGCAGCAAAACTGTATCACAATTTGTTTCAGTTTTTTACAACGATTTTATAATTTATTACACTCCCATTACTTTGTCTTGTAGCTTCTAACAATATCATAGGTAGATAAAAATACAAAATCAAATTTAACCAGTCGTGACGTTGTTAAACCGTATGTCGTTATTTATCTACATAACTAGCCAGATCGGTATACTTAAGTCTGTTTCTACTCAAACTAGTCTCTTAGCTTAAAAGCTATTCTAACGAAATTTAGCACACAAACGGATCGGCACGCCGATCCTAGGAAAATGGATGTTTGTATAACTATGTATATGATTCTATAAATCATAAGGATTTAGGCAAAATCGAACCAATAAGGTAAAGTTGCCATTGTCAGAATATATAGATAGTTGAAGTATTGCTTGTTTTCTTTTCTTCACTTTTCATTTCATTGCCTTCATTTTGTTTACAGACCCTCGTCTATGCTATTTTTTGAACAGGATATCATATAACCATAGGAACCAACGTCGAAAAAAAACCTTTTCTGTTACTGAATATTCCAAGACTTTTTCTTATTTTTTAAATTATCAAAAATGCAAGGTTTCGAACGCTTTGCTTTCTTTCTTGTTTTACATTGAAATAATCTTACCATCGTGAAATGGCTCTGTTGAGTTTCCTTCTTGTTTTTTATTCCTTATTTGATCCGTGAAATGTGAAATAAGTGCATCAATCATGGCAGCTTGCTTTGAAAACACCTGCACAAGTTTTGATACTTGTATTCCGTTTTCGACGGCATCAAACTGAAAAATGAGATGTATTAATAGATATGTATGTATGCATGTACTTATAGTTTAAAAATGGGAAAAAGCTTTGTACCTGCAAAAATATGCAGGTAAGACATTCCGCATCATCAGTTGCACTTGGCTTTGCATAATCCCAAGACAAATCCTCATATCGCAGACCCAACAATAACGTCTATGAGATAAACAATTTCAAATGTATGTTATTTAGAGTCACGACACAGTCCTCATTAACGGTTCGTATTTTCTTTGTTCTGTACTTACACTTTCGTATGGGTCTATTATATAAACTCCTCTTTCATTAACAGCAATCAGGACCTCCATATCTTTTTGGTTGACCAACGCCATAATACCCCTTACAGGTTGCTCCATTTGTCCGTGGAAAAATGCAGCCCTGTGAAAAGAACGTTTCTCATTGAATGATTGAAGATGAGAGTCTGATATAATGCAACAAAAGATGAGATCAAGGTATAAACATAAGCTTGGTGAACAGTATGTACAGTATGCAGAATAACAACAGGATCAGTGAATTAAAATTAAGTACCAGCTTTTCAAACTATATTTCATAGATAAATGTAGTTGTACAGTTTTCATCTCGCACATATCTGTGTTAATATTCCTAGGAGGCAAGCCCCCTGTGCAATCGCACTGCGCCTGATTAACACATCATAATTTTGAATTTATACTAATATTAATGGTAAACGAGAAGGAACGTGTGAGTCGCTTTTTTGGACGCGACTCTACTTTTATAGCCGTACTCAGTCCGTATATAAATTTGTTAACATTTATGTAGAATTTTAAAATATTTTACATTTTACGTTCGTTTGTTACATCTGTCATCTACATCTAACATGTTTATTCTAAATCTGAAGTGTAGATTATACATCTACAATGTATATTATACATCTTCTCTGCGAAAGGTCGCGCAATGCTTAGGGCAGAGTGTGTGCGAGCGAGAAAGAGAATAAGTAGCGCCAGCAGCGCCGGAGGAGGTGGGAAAGCAACTGGTTGCTCCAGCTCTTATAGGCTCTGAGATTTAGTTTTTTTTTAGAATATTTTAAATTTATTTATTTATTTTTGTATTTTTGTAATGTTTTTTTTCAGAGGCAGTGCTTTTATTTTTCACATAACAAAAGCTGACAAATGCAGCTAAAAATCAGACCTAGACACTTTGTATCTGCAGCTCAACGCCTGGAAGATATTAAGCTTTCAAATTCGAATTTGATCATTTTTTTGCGGTATTTTTTCCCAAATTTTTGACTTTAAAAACTCGGGAAAAGTCGAAAAAATTATTCTTGGCATGCATTTTTAGTTTTAGATAGACGCATTAATTAGGCGTTGTTTAAATTGCAACTTAACAAAAATTAACTTGCAGAAATCGGAAGACTCGAAATAAAATATCGGGCTACGACGACCCAAAACTATTTTATATAATATAGAAATATACTTTATGATTACCCATAAACTTACCCGTAAAATGGGAGTGCCCAGCAAAATTCCAAATATTTACGCATTAATTTTCGTGTGGTTGCTGTCTGGGGGACTCTTTTAAATTGCTCTAAAAGTTTAACCTCTGCGGAGTTCTTTTGGCTAATTGGTAGCCACAACCAATTCGAACTTTTGGCAACAAGTGCTGGTAAAAACCGAGCTTGGTTTTCTCTAAATTGTAAGAGTAGACTTAAGGTGAATTTTTAATGACTTTTAACTTACCGAAAAAATCCTACTGTGTGGGTATGAGAATTGTATGGCCCAAGCTCAATTCGGGCCTGAATACCACCTAACATGAGTGAATGCACTGGTTCCATAATATATCTTCCGGTTAGCACATTATTTCTTGCCTCCTCATAAAGAAGTTCCAAAATTCGATAATCCCTAAATATTAGGTGAATATAATATTAGTTTAGTTGGATCCTTTTAAAAATTATTTCTAAAAATTACTTGATTTTTTCCTCATCTCTTTTAGAAAAGAATACATTTCGCTTTAATACAATCATAGGTTCATCATATTTTTGATCACTTGGGCTACCATTGCTGAATTTCTGAAGCAGGTTTGGCCACGCTACACGTACAATATAAGGACAGTGATGCGCTTTTAGTTGCATCTCCAATAGAGTACTTGTCATCCACAATCCAAAAACGCTTTGGGCCAGCAATTTATTCGATATTCCTAATTCTTCGCATCCCAACGCAGCGGCCAGCATTACCTGAGACGGACATTGGGCTGTACCCTCAATCTCCATGTGTACAGCAACTCGGGACATAAGATATACACATGTTGGAATTACCTAAAGTGCATAAAAATTATTTAAATAGTCAATTAATTGATAAAATATTAAAGATAGAAAGACCAAACTCTTACGTTTTGTAAAGCCCGACCCAAACTTGATGAAGGCTTTCCAGCACTTGCTAAATTAGAAGTTGAGCTGGTTCCCAGAACACGTTTTGGAAGTGCAGACATTGGTTGGGCGTCATTACCACTGTTACATTTTTGGTGTGCTTGTAAAAATGACGAATTGTTAAGCAATCCTGAAAAGTATATTAAATAAAGACATTAAATATAATACACATATTTATGTTTGTCGCGGATACCACAACCCTCAGATTAGGTGTTTGTTCAGAACGTGTTTCGCGGTTAATAAGTGATTTAAAGGTTGGGATTTCTCATAGACGTACCTTACCGGGATGCTCTACGAGACAAAGGGCGGTGGAATCTATACCTGGTATGTTTTTAGCGACATCCAATATTCAGTTGCATTTATGTGCTTTGGTGGTTGAAAATGGATTTTTTTATAGCTTGGAACAGAAAGATTCTATTAGATGTGAGGACAAATCTGCAAGGCAGATAAGTCTTTGATTCGATGTTGCGGGTGCTCAAAAATTTTGCTGAGAGCGGCGATGCTTGAGAGCTCGGTTTGTGGTATCAAAGTACAATCCGAATCGGGAGGTTGGTTCCGGTTCCGGTCAAAACTTGTTATTTACAACTCAGAATTTTGTGGCACAACAACTAATTTCAAACGACAGTTACGAAATTCGTCCTGCAAGGAAGGATGGCCACGATTGAATTCTCGATACCAGTTTCTTGTATTGGAAATGCCTAGTTTCCCTAAGCTAATCTAATCATTCTTCATTCTAATCATGTTTATGTGTTAATTTCAATTTTTCCGGACCAAGGGAAATAGGGATTCATTTTTATATGTATATATATATATATAGAAGATTATTATTTGATTATGCGCATACATGAAATGAGATATGGACAGACAGGCATCGATTGGAATATATGTTTACTTAGTTGTTGTGCCACAAAATTCTGAGTTGTAAATAACAAGTTTTGACCGGAAGTTTTACGAGAATCGAGGAAAACCAACCTCCCGATTCGGATTGTACTTTGATACCACAAACCGAGCTCTCAAGCATCGCCGCTCTCAGAAAAATTGTTGAGCACCCACAACATCGAATCAAAGACTTATCTGCCTTGCAGATTTGTCCTCACATCTAATAGAATCTTTCTGTTCCAAGCTATAAAAAAATCCAGAAATTAGAACAAAGTGGTTCTAATTTCCGAACTTCCGCTGAATTTGGTTTTTGGATTTGGATCATTTTTAATCTGCTATTTATTTAGGAAAACAATCTTTGTGACAAAACATTGAAGGGGAAAATAGTCAAAACAAGTTTCACAGAATTCACGATTCACTGGTACATTTTCTAATTCTAAATCATTTTTGAAATGATGCAAAATTACGAGGGTGTTTTGATTCCGGATAGAACCCAAAAAGGTACATTTTGAGCATATTAGTTAGATTATATCTGCATAAATGAAGTGCACGTACATTTGGAGGGAAAATCAAGATATTTTTTATGTAGAAAAATCACCACGTTTCACTTTCGGCGCTTGTGTATAAAATAAATATCTGTCTTAAACTAATTCTTTATGATATACAATTTTTGGTAAAAAATGGTTTCCTTAAGAATAGGAAACAAAATTTCGAGGGCATCGATACAGGTTTTAAGTTTACATCTGCAGGACCACATGAGCTACACCAATCCTGCACGTGCCATAAAATATTCATTTATTTTGTTAAAGTAGTCATTTTGTTAAGCTTCGATCCTTTCCTTCCTACAGGTCGCTTCCGACCCGAAAGGAGGCTTCTTCCTCATTTCTCGAAAAGGACGCGAATGTCCCGCCAGCAGACATCTATCCACTGTTAGACTACGGATGTCTATTTGAGGGCGCTTTTGGAAAGGGCACATCAGAACTGAGGCGTAGACTCAGAGCTCGTAAGCTGGGTACAAAAGTTGCTGGATTCAAGGATTTGCTGGGGTTACGCTTATGATCAGCCACCCTCCAGTTATAGCTTTAACAACCAAAATTGTTTTTTTACAAGAATTCGATCAGTCATTCGTTCGTATTCCAAGGAAAGTCAGAACTAGCTGTTAGAGGTAGAATCCCTAAGAGTCTCACCTTTTTCTACAAAGTTACAAACTCGGAAAGTTGGGCCATTATTTAACCGAACGGAAAAGAATTGGCTATTAACATGTAAGCCAAGTTTTATGCAAAAATTTGTATAATGAAACTTTGAGAATAATTTTTCAAAAGGCTAAAGGCTAAAAGTTTTAACATTGACTTTCTGTGTATTGTTAGGTCGTTCAAATAAAGTGCTTACTGCAACAATCATAAAAAGTCAAAAAAACGATTTGTGCCAATCGAGGATTTAAAGTGCGGGAGATAGCAGAGACCATGGATTACCAGTGCTGTTTTAGAGATTTCTAAACGAAATAAACTGAAGTTTGTATGCGATATTTCAATGCGTCTTCGCATTGGCTTCATCCGTTTTGGCCACCAAACATTTCTATGCAGCTCTTCCTGAGATGCTTCTGCATCTCTCTCATCTTCACTGTTTAACCTGGTACAATGGTGCGCTACGAAAAATCTGTTGGGTACACAAACCTAAAGTCTGATGTCATTTCCCTACGAAATGGTCTGCACTATTGGTCTCTATCACAAAGTTAGCAAGTTCAATGCGGTACTTATCTAGCTAATTTTCTTAATCTTCAGTCAATCTAGCCATAAGTAATTCCAATTCGCACGCAAAATACTAAAAACGCAATTTAAAACGAACATTATTCTTACCTGAGGGGCTTCGAACATCAGGCATAGGACAAAGAGCACTTGCATTATTGAGTATATTAGTTCCCATGTCAGTCAGGCCACTATGACAAGGACCATGAGATGATGCAGTCATCGCTGAAGTTAGCTGCGCTGATGACAAGCAGTCACTTTCATTTTTTCCAGTGCTTACAACACTGGATACACTTGCAGATGACGCAAATGAACCTCCTATAGCTGTTTGAATTTGAGCTGTAGTTACCACACGATGCACTGTGTACATAATAGGAGGAGCAGGCACATTGACGGAACCCAATGACGTTGATGCTTGCGACATCGCTTGCTCGCACATTGCTACATTTGACTTATTTTGATGACTCTCTGTTGCAGGCGGAAACATCGCACAACTTTCAAAGTCATTAATTGGGTTTGCTGTAGACGTCGACAGTTGTGGCAATTGATGAATTGGTTGAGTATGACTTAGCTGTTGATTTTGTGCTAAAGAATGCTGTATGTGGAGGCAGTTGGGCTGTTGTTGTTGCTGATTTTGATGTTGGGGTATGGTTGATCCAGTGTTTAAGTGTCCAGCATTGTTAGTATTGTAGTAGTTATCACGACACTTGAAATCCGTAGTGTTATAATATAAATGCGATCTGGAAAATACAAAGTTATGATGTGAGATTATGAAATTGTTCTTTTGCATCGTACTTACTCATAGTCCTGAGAAGAAAGCTTTTTTCTATTATACTGTAGTGTTCCCAACGGAACCGTCATTATATTAATATAATTTCCTGCGTTGGCTGCGTTCTTGTTACATTGGCCACTACTGTTGCAGCCTGAACCAAAGGGACTTCCCATGCTGCTGTTTCCACTAAGTGATTTATTGTGATTGTTTGCATTTCGTTGTGTATAGCCAGATTGCGATTGATAAGGGCTGCATGCTACATACTCCTGTCCAGAATTCAATCCATAATTAATTTTGTTTGATGCGTTATGTGGAATTGCCGAAGTGGATGGATCCTGCTGCATAGCACTCCGGCAGTAATAATGATTCGGCTCCATATTCTTATAAAATAAAGAACATTATGCACATTTATTAGCACGTGTAAATCTGAACTATTTTATTTCTGTCAAAACTGATTAAAAATCTTTTTCAGCCAAGTCTTATATATGTATCTTATTGGTCAAATTTGGAAGGGGGAAAAAACAAGAAATGCAAGGCAGTGTAAGTGAGAATTACATCGCTGGTTTGTCTTTATAGTCTATATGGTAGCAGGGGAACGGCAAAAAAACTTTGAAAGTACAATTTGGATAGACTTTGACGTATTGCTTTATCAAGAATATTGTATACTTAATGGGCCGGGCTTAATGTGCTTCCTTCTGGCTATGACATACTTTTTTTGTATTTTCATCATTAGGAGCTTATAAACAAACCCAAAGTATAGTTTCAATAATATAGAAAAGAAAACTTTTTTTAACTAGTATAATCAAAGAAATCTTTATGGATTGCAGTTTTATGTACTATATCATATAGGAACGATGGTTCCATAAATTGTACTTGTAAGACTAAGCTAACTTATTTCAAAAGTATACTGCTGTTTCAGTTAAAATTAAAATAAAGGCCCTCATTGCTTCTGGCATTCTATTTTATTACAAAAACTTACCGACTAAATGTACATAAATTTGTATTTATGTATGTGTCAGCATACGTGTTAGGATTTCTACAAAACAAATTTGTCTATTTTTGACGATACAGTATAGAAAATATGAACATCACTTTGCGTAGCAATTCTGCCACCGCTGAGCGGTTGAATATATATATTTACCAACTAAATACACATACATATTAACATCCAATCGTACATTTTGATGTATTTATTTACGTTTTCATACACTGTTTATGTATACACATAGTTTGAATATATATTTACAAGTTACCATGCGAATCGAAATACTTAAGGACATGTACATATTTACATGCGTACAGTGCAATTAAATCAATTCATGCCTGCGAAAGTTTGCACATACATATGTACATACATACATACTTATATACTTTTTTGTACACGAACTTGCAAATCACACATATCTGTATGTACATTCATACATACAGAGAATTCGTAACTGGGTGGAACTTTGGTGGCTAGTTTTATTGTTAAATCTGATGAAAACTATATTCTTACTGTAATTTACATGTATTACGTACATAAATGGGTATCTTTGAAAACATGTGTTATATGGATTTCATTCGGAAGATACATTTTTCGCTGTCTTGCGCGTTAAAGCTTCTGTAACTTTTTTCCCAACATCTTTATTGTTTGAGGCTTCATTTATGGAAGACTTTCACTGAAGAAACTAACGTGTGGCAATGACATGAACTTCATTAACCTTTTTATACACAAAACTTCCAACTAAGGCAACATAGCACACAAATATCTATGTACTTATACAATTCCTGCCTTAAAGCAGACAAACGAGGTAAACAAACACATGCAAACTTCGAGTCTATATTAAACGCATGCGCACAATTTTCTGTACATATGTTTGTACTTTGGTCAGCGGACTGACTATCGATAATGCTGGGACTCAACAGTTACCAAAATCAATACTGCCCCCTCTGTATAACTATTTGATAAGAATCGGAAAACATATACAAATTTAATTACTGCTCTCTTGGAGAGGATGTTGATTTTCTTTGACCAATTGCTTGCAACGCACTCACAAATGCATTTTCGATCCTATCTCATTTTGCAATAATCGGGAAAGAGAAAATTTGCGCAGATCCTTTTTGTGCTTCACGCAATATATTTACATACATATGTATTATTGTTATGAATCTTACTCACATATGAACGATTAAATCTTCCCTCGCATCTAAACAACAGTCTTTAAAATGGACACGTCCGTTTATTGTTTTTAAAAAACTTTATTATTGATAAACATAGTAAACATGTAGATATTTTATTTTTTCAACTTTTGTAGTTGTGGAGCCGATATTTTCACTTTTCCGGGAATATTTCTGGCCAGAGACTCCTCCTTTATACTTTTCAGTAAATCTCTTTCCCGATTATTGCAAGTCTTCTCCTTTGCAAAGATATTGAGTGCCACTTTCGCAGCTTTTCCACGTTTTCCGGTACCTGGCGTAAGCTTCACTTTGAATCTGCAACAAAGAAAAACACAATTGCCCGTTACCATAAAAAACTGTATTAAATGTACTATAATTAATAATAATAAGTTCTATAATTAGTTTATAATTAATGAGTCTGCCTGAAGGCTATGTTGCGCTAGTTAAAACTCTTAATTAAAATATAGTATTCAACTTAAGCTAAAAATTTTTAAATAAATTACAATTCACCTGCGAATCAAAAAATATTCTTGTTAGTTAACTTATTTTATGATCGACGCTCAGTGGGGTCTTCGGCCCATTATTTTTAAATATAATCTGCAAGACTGCATGGTGCTACAATAACTAGAAGCTTTACAATAAATAGTCAAAGTTTAATTTGGATCCTGGTTAATATTTGCCTGTTTGCGGCGCATAAAAGGCTGCATTTTTTTTGGATTGGTAAAGAAAGATTAATGGCCATTTCCGCTACGCATAATAATTTTCAATTTTAGTTCTAATCAAATATAATATTTTTAAATATACAAAAACATTTTTGTTTTCTTATAAAACTTATTAAACACTTGTTTTTAATTGAATAGTCTCCACATTGGAAGGATGTTGTAATAAACTTAACATTTCTGTTGAATAACTATTTGTCGAACTATTTTGTGATCTCACATGTCTAATAAATGAAATATATGGAATCATTAGTATACGGACCCAGTTTTTGGGTTTTTTCAACTTTAACTTGACTTAAAAAAAATTAATCCATAAATTTTTATTTATTTTTTCTTTTTTTCGAAAATAAGACCAATTTTGTATAAATTTTTGAGACAAATGAATACATCTAGCAAACGATACCAAAAACAGACTCATAAGTTACACAGTTTACTTTTTAATATTCTACCTAAAAGATGCAGTACGAGTATATCAATAAAAGTTCAATACATTTTTGCACAATAAATAAATTTCCCCTTTTAAGTGAAAGTTCGGGCTTTGAATACTCTGAAAAAGTTTCTATTCATGTTATTCAAAGCGCGCATAAAATTCTATTCTAAACTTTACGTTTTACGTAGTTGTTTTTATGATTAAATGGATAATTTCAAAGGGTCTTTGAAACCTTAGTAAAATATAGACCAACTTACTTGTAATGTTGTAGTGCCTGGTATGGAGCTACAACTGGAATTGCAAAGAGTAACTCATCTCCTTCAAGCGGCTGTCCAGTTAGACTGTTAAGTATATCCATGTCAACTCCAGCCGGCATTTCTTCATTTTCGTCTAATTCCATTTGGTTTTTAGGTTTGAAAACGGAAGTTTTCGGAGGCTTTTCTGCTTCATTAACAATAACAGGATTTTCAACGTCTTTGCTATTATTGATAGACGCTTTTACTTTTCCGGACGAATTAAGTATCATCATGCGGATTTCACGTTCCTCATCATCTTGATCCTTGTATTTTGACTTCATTTTTTTTAATTTTCCTTTCTGACCTCGTTTAACTTGGGATGAGCTACTTGGCTCTGCATCTACGGATGCGTTATCTGATAGCTTAATTTCTGGTTGAGACGATCGTGCTTTATTAGCTCTATTTTTTTTGGCATTATTTTGTTGCTTTTTGCGACTAGGTCCAGCTAATATAATTGATGTTTCCTCATTTATAGCCTTATTTGATAAGATCTCATCGGTAGATTGTTGTTCCTCTGCATTTAATGCATTTGGTTTAACTGTTATTCGGCCAGTATCATGCTCAATCATTACTTCAGTATTGGGAAAGTCAGAGTTATCATTTCTATATTCTTCAGGTGTGCACACAACGCGTCGCGTTTCCAAATCTTCGCTTACTTCATTTAATAACATATCCGTTAAATCATTTTGTTTGAAACTATTTTCGAAGGGAGCATCATCTATGCTTCGCACTTTACGCTCTCCCACGTGGCGTGGCACAAAACTGTCTTCTAATTTAAAAAGTAAACTAAGTCCCATTGTGAGATGGCAAGAGGGTAAGAAGTTTTTTTTGCCTCTGATCATAAAGCTGCCTGTTGCCAAATACTCCCCCGTTGGAGCAGTTTTACTGACTTGCTCGCTGGTTACCCAATAAGAATTTGTGACCACTTTGGCATCCCAGGCAACGCTGTATGAAATGGCCATAGAACCGGCCTCCACTAAAGTTTTGGGAGGTATATCTTCTCCAGTTGTATTTCGTATAACAACGCTTGATGCACCTTGAATTTCAGCATGCACATAAATGTCTTTCGGACGCATGTATCTAAAATGTAAAGTATATTTAGAAAGTCTGTGAAGAACATTACCCTTGAACCTACTTACCTCTTAACAATCAGTTCATTTTGCTGCGCATCTCTTCCCCCAATTACTAAGAAATTTTCCGAACTTATAAACCAATAAAACTTTTCAAACCAGAAGACTTTTCGTGCCTTAACTATGTTGGATATAGTTCTGACTTCTTTGAGTGTTTGTTGCGTCTTACGCTCGGCTGATTTGAGTGCCTTTTGAGAAGCATCAACAGTTTTCTGTTCTTTCTGAGCTGCTGAACGTTTTAAGTCGTAGTAGCGGCGAGCATTAGCCCATGCTGACAAAGCTAAGTCCACATCAACAACGGTCAAATCTTCACAGTCAGTACCATGCTCGTTTTCGTTTTCGTTTTGACTAACATATGGATCACTGAGTATCAATGATATATGATTAATTTCTAATTTTAGCTGTTTTATGGAACTAGCAACAACATCACCATTTGCCTGAGCCTCTTTAACCAGCTCATGGATATCTGGCCAAGCTAATTGACTTGCAATGGCAGACTGAACTGCCCGAATCGCATTATCTACCAAGATTTGATTGGAAGTAATTAGTTCGGCTTTCTTTTTATCATCATCTTGAACCTTATTTAGCTCCTCCAGTCGCTTTGCATGATCCTTTTTTACATTGGAAAGTTTTTTTAAGGCTTCACGTTCCTGTTGTAGCGTTTTCATATCAATCTTTTGCGATTCTTGAGACGAATAAAACTCATCGACAGCTTCCAAAAAGGATTCAAAAATTGTAAATTCATAATCTTTAAATTGAGCAAAGAGAAACGGTTGGAATTCAATATTTCTGAAAAAATATTCAATTTTCCCATTTTCTATTGGTTTTTCCTCTTTTACTTGAATAATATATCCTTTTGATTTCCCATTGTTTCCATCATTAATAAGATTCAGTGCGCTCTGTAAATATATTAAAATTCAAATTACTTTCATTATATGATTATACGCCTAAGGAAATAGATACTGTGATTTACGCGAAAATTTTAGATCCGTCTACTGATCAACCTTGTATATAATATATACCTAATAATAAATGTTCTAGCTGTTTCTAACACATTTGGTTTTAACTAATTTTCCCGAATTTTTTGGGCGAATGTCAAGTAATGCTGTATCTCAGGAGAAAAAATATATTCTTGATGGCTACGAAAAATTGCTGGACATATGGAGCTATAGACAATATTGCGCTCCGTATGCAGAAGGTTTTAAAAAAGTTATAGATTGAATTTACTACGATTGAAATTGCAAGTAATATTGATAATTTAAATTTAGTCCAGACAAAAGTCAACATTTCTGCAGCCAGTGATTTCTGCAATTTGCACGGCATGACGAATATCACAAATATTTTAAGACCTATGCGCAGACCTACTTAATATATGTACATGTCGCATTAATGTTTCAGGATTTATGTGACGGCGCAACTTGGCCCCCTTGCGTCTTGTTGAACATGGATGTGTGGTACTCAATAAGCAGGAAAGAAACTTTTACTTATTTTATTTGTGCATACAAAGATTGCGATTTACCATGTACCTCAGTAGGTGGAACAGTCATTCAGTACGTGGATAAGAGGGAACACTTGGCTAAGACCTACTACGATGACTGAATCACGTCTGAATAGTAATTTAAATATTCTTAATTAATAATAGTAATATCATTCAAGTTTTTCTTCTTGAAATTTTGTAGTGCTGAGTGCACACAGAAGGCTCGTAAAGAATTCGGAATTCCGAGAAGACGTCTTGGAGGAGTTTGTAAAAGTCACAGAATGGCGAAAAATTCTGCGTACGCCCTTACGTACAGTATATGTACATACATATGCATAAAGAGGTTTCTCTCTGCAGTACTTAAAAGCAACATCATTCGCATCATTTGGTAAAAAAAAATATTTAACCTAATTTTGCTTACCTTTACAGCCATTTTTAGAGTTGGTAAATCTTTTACAATGTCAAAAATCTTTACTTCCGATTTGGCATTTTTTAGATTTCGCTGCTTTCGTTGTTTTTTTGAGTTTTGAACATTTTTTGAAATCTCTTCAGCTACATCTACGGCTGAAGTGATCCCCTGCGGCATTAAACGATTTTCCAAATCATGTAAAAGAAGAACATGTTCAACGACTGCAGGGCCACAATTTAAAACCGGCATTAATATTTGTCGCAAATTTTCACCAGGAGGGGCTTTTTCCAGTAGGTCGTCTAAAAGATCCAGTCGAAATGCATCATCTTGATGTTTAGCACGCTCAACGGGATATTTTTCACGGACAGCAAAACGGATATTCTCGCCCTCTGTATGTGGCCGCAGGATGTAAAGTGTTGTTAGTTCAAAATCCGTCAAGATCAAATTTCCTCGATCGTATAGCTCAAGTAAAACATGATAGGCGGCATCGCCACTTCCAAATTGAAAATCCACTATGCGATCCACACCCAATTGACTAATTTTTTCCAGGCGCTTATTTTTTAGGTGCTTCCTTAACTTCATACTAAAGCCAGAAGGAGCTACATTTTTCGGCCACTCAAACCTGGTTGTGTGAAACCGAATGCCAGACTCGATCAAAAGCGTAATCTTCTGAACCGCTCCATTACCTTGCAGGCGGATAAGGTAAGTCTTGTTATCAATATCGTAAATTTGATTCACACGCAAGCCAACCAACCTATGATAAAATTGTTTTAATTAATATAATAAATATAAACATTAGGTGTTAGTTGTATGCCTACTTTTGAAGTTCTGCGACTCCGCAAATTATATCATATGTACTGAAACGTGTCTTCATAGCTCCAGCGCTCAGATGTCATATGAATCGAAATATTTATATGTAAGTTTCTGTGAATTTCTGGATTGAGTCGAGGGTATTTAATATGGATAGTTAAATACTTTTTCCATATGAGAGCGATTTGTTTCGTAAATTTCCCGTAAATTCAATTAAAATTGAAATGTTTTTTCTTTAATGCTAATGTACGTGTAGTTAGGGACGACCCTTTTTTAAATTTATATCGATAGTTGAGACAAGTGTCGAAAAATTGATAGCACGCAAAGTGAATTTACTATTCAATCGTATTTAATTTCGCCAACGAAAAGGGCTGGAAAATATAAAATTCGTAATTATTTACATTTTCATTACCGACAATTACACAAAAATACCAAAAAATATATGGGAATAGTTATAGCCCCTTCACACTTGGCGCGTTTCCTATCGATATCGGTTTAGACGCAATGAAGCAGAAAAGGCGTTCACAATGGCCGATGTGCGTCTTGAGAATAGCTGATTTGAGTGCTTGACGGCGAGGAAAGTAACAAAATTTTGGGAAATTGTGCAAGACGATGGAAAATGAATATGACGAAGTTCTACTCAGAAGTGTATGAAAGCCTCAGGGGCTCACAGAAATGTCTTATGATAATAATAAAATGAGTTTAAAGTATTTGTTCTGAGTACAGAACAGTCGGAAGGCTGTCAGCCAACAGCGTGTGCAATATACTGCATGAGTCGTGTCCGACGCGCTAAACTTTCCGTCGACCGAATCAGGGATGAAGTTCGTATGGAAACGATAAAAAAACATGGCTGCATTTCGGTCGACCGAAAATTTCGCAGCAGGAGTTTCGCAGACCAGTTCTTAGTTCGAAAAAAAGGAGAGGCGATAGATATTGGAAAAGCAACCGATGGTATTTTCCTATCTCGAGCGGATTATAGAATTATCCTGTCCTTCATGCGTAACAAGCTCAAGCCGGTTAGAAAAGTGCAATTATGATAAGGCTCGCTTTTGTCTCCACCCAAAAAATGGACTCATTTTTTTTTTGCATAATATTTAATAGATAAACTATTATTGCATTTAGCCAAATTTTTCGCTGATGTGGATTTGGTATTTGAGTTTCGTTACAAAATAGCAAAATAAACAAAACCGATACAAAATTGTGTGCGGAGACCCTTAATGCTTCATTCGAAATATACTAGAAAGTATTTAACCATAAACGGTCACGTTGAACATCACCACACACCCTCCCAAAATATTATCGTATTTTGAATGTTTGGAAAAAACAATCGATACTATCGTGATAGTATCGGGCTCAAATAATTATTAAAAAACCATTAAAACCTTTTAGCAACTTGTCCATTGTAAAAATTAGATGCCACCTGTCGATTTGTTTATAAATGTGTCTTCGTATTTTATAGCAGCCAATCCAAACATATGAAAAGCGCAACGACTATAGCGAAGTCGCCGCGAAGCAGAATACGAGCAGAATGGTATCTGTTGACGTACACGTGCTGTTTTTTGCTAAGTGCCGTGAATTAGCTCAGACTACTCGCTCAGTTTTTACAGTCCCATCTGAAATTAAAGCAGCTGATTTATTAGAGCAACTTGTTTTACGATTTGGGCTAACGACCATAAGGCATAATTTAATCATAGCTCATAACGAATCGTACATCGAAAACTTAAACGAGAGTATAATTTTAAAGGACGGTGACGAATTAGCTGTAATACCGCCCCTAAGTGGAGGCTAAGCAATTCGAAATGAACCACATAAAATTGATAGACGGTCCAATCGACGTCACTTATGCAATAACAATGATAGCTGATCCGAGTTGCGGAGCTTCTTCTGTTTTTATAGGAACCACACGTGATAGCTTTCAAGGAAAAAAAGTAAGATCTTTAACTGAATTACTTCTGAACGAATGTCGCATACATATCAAGTAAATGTATATGGTATCTTCAATTTACAGGTAGTATCATTGACATATGAAGCATACGAAAATATGGCCCTTAAAGAAATGGATAAAATTTGCTCAGACCTCCGTGCAACTTGGCCAGAGTTGAAACACATTTTAATACATCACCGATTAGGCACAGTTCCAGAAAACGAAGCAAGTGTAATTATAGCGGCTTCAGCACCACATCGTTCCGCAGCATTGAACTCAGTAACATTTGCTATAGACCAACTAAAATCCCGTGTACCCATATGGAAAAAAGAATTGTACGAAGGCGACTACGATGCTGAATGGAAAGAAAATTCCGAGTCGATCAGGCCTAGTAAGAAATAAAAAAGTACAACGTTATTTCAGATTATAAATACAATGTACAAATGTATATACAATTAAAAAATATTTTTGTTTGTATGTAATTTACAGAGAAATCCTTAAGTAGTTTTAATTATTCTGCTTGTGTCTGTAAAGTCGATGAGTCGCACGTTGTACCGCGAAATTTAGTACAAATTAGAGCTAATGACTGCGAGCTATCCAAGCGTTTAGAATGTTTTTTTAAAAGAAAACGAGCGGAAATAAATTCTCACAATGTAATTGACTTCAAGCAGTCCAATTTAATCCCTAACATTGATTCCAAAACAGAAGTAAAAGTTTCTTGCGCTAGAACTCAAAGTACTGTTTCAAAACAGGAACAGTCAAATTGTCATTTGAAAGGTGTGTATCAACTCGCCAATATTCTTGTATTTACTTATGTATATAAAATATATCTATCGCAGTGCGGCGTGTTACAAATCGTTGTGGACCACAACAGATGCAGTTCCGACCCAAATACAAACTTGAACTAAATAGGCTAATGGCATCGCGTGTTTCCACTAATGAAATGGGAAAATCGTTGCACAATTCGCGTTTACATGCAATTGAAACATACATTGGCTTGACTGGCAATGATAATGAAAATATTATTAATCGTATAAAATATGTTGAGGACAGAATTTTACTGTTGGAGTCCATCTCGCCAGAATACCAGCATTTTGTAAGTAACATAATACATAGTTCTATAACCATTGTGCTGTTTGATGATTGAGCTTGTTTTATTTTAAAGACGCAGTTTGAACAGTCGAGAATGGATCCATCGGACCACAAAATAAGAACAAAAAAAACCTACTCCGCCCACGAGCTTCGTGCATACATCCATAGAAAAAATAAGGAATGTTCTTGAAACTTGAAAACATTATATTAATAAATATCTTAACCCACTTTTGGTATCGCTGTTCGCAAAAAAGGACGAATTTATTTGTTTGTTAATACAGGGTAGGAGGATTTTGTTAGGAAAGTCAACACGGAACGCGATCTCTCTCAATTTAGCTCGCACGTGTCAGGAGATATGAGAAACTTATGGAGAGAAAGCAGAACTACAACCGCTAGTTATGTTCTAATGTTCCCATTTGTTTGTTATATCAGTCTTTTTCTCTCTATTTACACCAACATCTACCGTTCTAACTCTCTCTGTACACCGCCCCTGCACAAGAAAGAGTTTGTAAGAGAGAGAGAATGAGTAAGCGCGTGGAAGGGGTAGCGAAGCCAGTGCAAATCAATTTGTTCATTATAGCTATAATAATGATCCGATCCGATCTGATCCAGATTCAGCAATCTGGTTAGATATATATGGACATTCTCTATGACTATCAATTGCTTTTTTCTAATTATATTTTCTGCCTTTCAATTTTTTGGCGCCCCCCCCCCCCCCCCCGCCCCCCCGGGCCGCCCCCGCTCACATCTTTACCCGGCCCGGGGCGGGTCCCGCCGGCAAAATAAAAATAATAATAGTAGTGCAATTATGACTTTTCTTATATCCTAAAAAAAAGGACTTACGAGCAGTTCCCCTTAATAATTTTAGTTTTTTTTTTAGAGATTACCTTAATTGCAGATTGTAATAATAGAAAACAACTCAGAATAAACCATCAACATTTTCAGAAAGAAAATAAAATGTTGAAGTACCTCAAAAACGGATCGGTCAAAATAATATGAGACTACGGTCTAACAAAATTTTCTAAGAATGTTCTTTGTATTCTTTGTATCTTTGTATTCTTTCTTTGTATTTCAGTACAATATTAATGTTCTTAAAGTCCCTTAAATATTATTATTATTTGTTCTGTCAGATGTGGGTTGAATTCATACTTCAGGTATTTTAAATCATGCTTAGAAAATACTGGTACATCAATTTGTTCATATAAAAGAATTTTATTAGGATCATTAACGAAAAAAACATCTAGTAGAGTATTAATATTATTTGAAGTCAGTCATAGACGAATTGACAAGATTTAAACCCAATGAAGATATTTCATCAGCAAGGTGTCGTTCTGTTAGCATATTGCCGTTAACGTCGCCAGTTATGACTATGTCTTCGTATAATAGATATAAAGTCATAATTGTGTCAATTGCATCTGAATATCAATAAAACGATTAGGTCTTTAAAGGCAGCCAATTAAAATACTTGTTGAACTCCCTCTACCAGTGACTTCGAGAAACAAGTACTCTATTGCACTTCCAGTGGTCTGTTTGCTTACCTTTTTGGATTTCAGGTTGTTGTTAATATATATGTTACCCCACCTGCATGGCCTTCTCGATCGGATCAATATAAAAATAAAACCGTCACAAGAAAATAAGACATTTAGTTGAGAGACAAAAGACGTTTCAGAAACATATATCACATCAAAATTGGACTTTACAAACAAATACCTAAACTCTCAATTTTGTTGCGAAGACTTTGTGCATTTATATGGCATATATGTAAGCCGTTCTTTTGCTTTGCAAGAACCTTGATAAGTGTGTTGCTATTCGCTGTGGATCCACTTATATTAAAGTGCATATTTTCCCTATCAGTAGCACACGCAATTTACAAGTTAAGATAAGTATAAAAACCTAACAATAAGTTTGAAACATATATCACTTACAGAACTAACGTTAAACATGACAGATAAGAGAGAATCAGTCTAGCGATCATCACGATTTACTACTTTACTACGAATGTTTTCCGGTTCTTCTCTATTCTCTTCACTGTGCTCGGTATTAGCACGAATTAAGGGAGGGAGAACGCTCCCGCAGTTTGCGTTACATGCACGACAGCTCGATGTGTGAAAACAGAAAAGATAAGATAACTACCAACTGCTCTCAGCAGTGCGGCTTTATCTTGCACATGTTCCAGTTGTATATATGTTCTTTGATCAGTGGTAGCGTTTTTATTGTGCTGCTTGCGCAGCCAGTTTCGCCTCCATCTCACCCACCTGACCTCGAAGTACGTGCATCTCTCCAACATCGGTCTCTAGCTCCAGAACTCGAACTTTCAGTTGTTGGGCCACGCCAACCTCTGACTCCAGATGCTGTACCAGCTGAGTGAGTTTTTGGAGTTCACGGGTCATCACCTTCAGCCTATCCTGAAGGTCATGCAGTATGCGATCCTCAGATTGACGAATGCTGTCCGTGATCTGATCGAGCTGCTTACTCATATTTGGGTCGATGAGCTAAACCAATAGGGGCGAAGGTGCATCCGACGAACGAGTGATTTTCAGGTCGGTGGAGGTTTGTTCCCGCTGGCGTTTCGGTGCTGGTGTCATTTTGAGTGTTTTTGTTGTTGTGTTTTTTATGAGTGATTAGCCGTGTATATTATTGAGTGTTCTTGGAGTAAGTACCAGGAGACTGCTCTCATGTGATAATGTGAATGGTGCAAACTCGGCTGGCGTGAATCGGGTTTCTAGATTTCTAGCAAACGCTTCAGCTTTTTCGTTGTCCGATTTTATCCACGTTACGTTGTCATTCTTTTGTGAAGAGTGGCTGCCACTTGATGCAACGGGTGAGTTTCCAGAGATTTACTATTCCACTTTCGGGTGGATCTGCCCTTTCTAACATTTCGTCGAAGTGTTTACTGTTTTTTTCAACGAGTGCCTTTTTTAATAATAATTGAATAATAATAATGATTAATTTTCGTAAGCGTCTCTTGATTCGCATCAAGTCGTCAATTAGAGGGTCTCGTGTTTCAGCAGGTCGGGTCGTATGCGTTGTGTGTGGTTCTGCGAAGAGAGCTTCTTGGATTTGTTGGTTAGCGTGTGTACTGCTGCGTCAATGTCTTCTGGTGACTCCAATTTGGCGTTAAGACGAATATGTTATTCCAAATGAGTTTGAAACATCTCAAGGTTTGCTCGACTATGCAGTAACTTCTTTTTGGCGGGGTATTCGACAGGGGAGGAGTGTATTTCCACGAGAAGCGGTAGGGTAAAAGATAGAAATTCGTCTGAATGTCCAGAAATCTATGCGGAATTCCTCTATAAATTGCGAAATCAAGAGCACTAGGTTGCTGGAGTCGTACGGATAGTGTGTGGCTGAGCCAGTGGCAAGGATGTTGGCACCGTTTGTAACTATGAATTCGTGGATTTGGCGACCTCTGGGGCTGGAACGAAGATTTCCCACCATTGGTGCTTTGCATTCCAATCACCCGCCGCAATGTATTTTGTAAACAAAGAACGGTACTGGGAGCTTGACCATAAGGTAGCAGGGGGATATTAGATCGCCGAGATTGTTATTTCACCTAGGGAACTATTTATAGAAATGTTTGCGCCTTGAATTTGGCCATCGGTAATGGGGTTAATTGGGAAATGCTATATGCTACTGCGGATGAGAATTGCTGATCCTCCCCTGTAACTATCAGACGGGTGGGTTTCAGTGTAAAGCTCATCCCAGTAATTTAAATGTTGTTCGGCTACAAAAGTGAGTTTCCGAGAGGAGCATAATATCTATATTTTTTGTTA